CCGTAAGTGTGTTGTGACAAAAGGTGCCAAAAGGTTGCGCGAAAACAGTTTGGCCTCAAAATACACTGTATTGACTGAATGAGTGAAACAGACAATTAAAGTGAGATATATTTTGACAGACTTTTGCCAAACGCTATTAAAACCCCTTTTAATTAAATTGATTGCATTTTTGTCCCATTATTTTCATTCAGTTATCATTAATTTTCTCATAAATCTCTTAATAAGTGTAAAGTTTTTTTTCGATGCATTCATTTGTGCCAATCATATGCCCATTGAATGTGTTTATTGTGTAAAGCAATCGTGAAAATCAAATTGAGTTTTAATTTTTGTGTTTCGCGTTATAATTAGTAAACATTTTTTGCGATCATTTGTGTCTCAAACCAATGCATGAATTGTGAATATTTTATAGACATTCATACGATCAGTATTTCTGTGTTACTATTGCTTACCACTCACTTCACAACTCGTATTACTGTTACAATTGATGCCATAATTCATACAATTCTTATGTCTTATGCTTCACATCGCTATTCAGTCCATGAATTCATATGACTTTTCATGTATTTATAGTTTTTTTGTGAACAAAATCACTGTTTAAAGCATTTAATGCGAGTTTTATCATTGAAAACAATCAGAAAAAATTGTTTTTATTAAGTTTTTGTGCGAAAAATATACTATAATTCACAATAATTAATATAAATATCTTTTTGTGTGAAATATCTGTAAATTTATAGAAATATTTCATTTTTGGTGTCTTTTCTGTAATTGTTTGATGTGTTGATGACTTGATGTGTGAATGTATAGCAAAAGCATATAATATATGACAACAGCTATGAGTGACACGAAACTGATGGTCACCACCACTGGTGACACCGATGTGTTGGTGACCGACAAATGCGATGATAATAGCGATCATAACGAAGACATGGATGACGAGGAAGAGGAGGACTATGAGACCGTCAGTGACAGCGCCTTTTGGCACGTAAGACACCATTCATTATCACCCATTAGTTACTGACCATCACTTCCAATACCATTCATACCTATCATACTATTTGCTCCCATTATCTCTCTCATCATAAATCTCTGGTTTTTGTTTTTTTGTAATTTGTTTTAATGTTTTATTTATTTTGTCATTTTTATTGTCTATTTAATTGCCTTATAATTGGCAACAGATTCATAGCAAACAATATATTTTTCCTATTGATTTGATACATTTATATAGCCCACTATGAAATGACCCCCTTTTTAGTGTGCCCTCATCTCTCTCTCTCTCTCTCTCTCTCTCTCTCTCTCTCTC